GGCATCTGGGGATGGCGGTTTAAACCCCCCTCGGGGATGTTCGGGCTATTTTTGACGAGAGGGTTGATAATTGACACATAATCTCGGCGCTTCTCTCTTTTGTGGTGGATATCAGTGTCGAGGCGAGCGGGTTGTGGTGCGCGACGTACAAATGAGGCGTAGATGGTGGGAGGGAAAGCCACTGGGAATTCAAGATCAGACCAGTCTTGAACTTGGAATGGATGAATGGATCCTCGGCAATGGCATCGATGCTTCTTCTGGCCAAGGTGGTGTTTCGAGGATGGCTGATGGGTTGCGGTTGCAGACGCCACGGCTTACCGTTCGCCACGGGTGGAGAAGCAATACACAGTAGAAGGGGGAAAGAGGAGGGAGAGGCATTTTTTTAACACCACCTACGGCATCGATGTTACGAATAGTGTAATGGGTGATGTCGGGTGGTGGGCGGAGGGAACCGCGTTGCTAAGGTGGGAGATGGGGGCCTCGTAATTGTGCAGATGAGTGAGGCCATTTGGTTATTGTCTGCTTTGTGAGATGTGAGGGCCATGATGCGTGAGAGGCTTGGTGATGATGGAATATTCGAATTTCAGCGAGAGTTTGTTTGGGCATCAGCTCACACACGGCATAGCACTTTTTGGGTTGCAGTTTCTACGGCTAAATGACCATGGAAGTATGAGATCCAATGGACAACATGTAACATGTCGCTTTCGATGGGCTTGTTGATGTGAGGTCATAGGGGTCCTGGGGAGATCGTCGTTGATGGCGTTTCTTGTGTGTCTCTTCTCATGTGCAATGCCGCTGAGTGGAAGGCTTGCGTTGCGTTGCGTGCGTGTGTGCGAGGATGCAAATCATGTCTTTGGGCTGGGAAAAAAATCACGTTCAAACTTCAGGCGAGGCGATGGTCTTCTCCCCATGGGAATAAGGACGTCAACCAACACGTCTGTTCACAGCTTTTGCGTGCGTGTAGGATGCTAAAGCGGCAGCAACGCAACGCTACCACCTAGAGCTACCTGAGCTTGCTGGCTGCCACCTGAGTTGAAACCCCTTTGTGTGTCTGAAGATCAGGTTTTTCTCAATGACATTTTTTCAGGGTCCGACGATCATTGAAGATTGTGGCTTTTGGGTTGGACGGCGACGGGCGCGGACGAAACGGGGCGAGACGCGGGGAGGTGTTGTGGTGTTTATGTGGGAGGCGGTGGTGGTGGTAGCTGGGTGGAGACTGACGAAGGGGTTTGAGGGGATTCTGGGCTTGTAGAAGAGGCATTTTTTCATTGCATAGCGGTACACCTAGATGGGAGCAGGCGAGATGGATGCGGGAGGGTTCTCTTTAGGATCTTGGTGGTGGTGTAGGTGGTGATAGCGGCGAGGGATATCGACGTAGGGACGAGGACGAGCGCCTCATGATTGATGATGGTGGTGGCGTGCGTGGGAGACCTGGCATCTGTTGGTTCTCCATGGCCCAGACTCTTGTCAGTGGTTGCAAATCTTTGCCCTATTCTTTCTTCCCCCCTCGCCATCTTGTCTGTATGCGACTCCCGGACATCTGTATTCGTAGGCTTGTAGCCACATGGATGGGGACACTGGGGGGTGCTGCTGGGTGCTGGGGCCGGAGCCTCCAAGGGCCTTGCGTCTTCCGACATGCAGTATGCGGAATGCGGTCTAGGTGTGTATGCGAATGTGTGAGAATGCGCGTCTCTTAGGGTGTGCTGCACATGCAATCCGGAGTCGTGTGTGTGTGTGTGTGTGTGTGGTGGTGGTGGTGGTGGTGGTGGTGGTGGTGGCATGGCATGGCATGCGACCGGGTTCCGATGATGAGACGCTGTTATCAGGGAGGCAGGGGTCTGGAACTCGACAGTCTCTACTCCGGTTCTCCAGGGACCATCCTATTATCCACTGATACAGGTGCAAAGGTATGGATGGATACTATTGCTGATGCTGCCAAACTGCTAATACTACGCAGTAAGGAGAACTACTGCGTGCGCGAGTGCGTTTATTGCGCTTGCTTGCCACGATGCTACATGCTACGGATGCCTTGACAGCCGCTTCGCTATTCTGAATGGACGTCTGGGGCATCAGCCAAGACATGGATGTCGAAAGGTGTGATGCGGATGCGGGCAAGGGGTGCGGGCATATCTCAGATCTAGAGGGCCCCTAGACAGCATCATATCGAGAAGGATGTGCGGTGAGCCTGAACTTGTCAAGATGGCTTCTTTCTTCCAACACCCTCCCCCCCCCCCAATATCAAAGAGAACCTTGGACATAATAGAGGGTTTGCTTCTAACTCTCCAGGAAGATGATATCCACTCCAGAGCACGGTAGCTTTGCTTGCCGCGCCTAGAACTGATCCCCCCCCCCCCCCAGTGCCAGAGGAGGAGGAGGAGGAGGGGGATTGTCGCGTTTGGGTCTCTTGTTCGCCTCCCCTGCGGCAAGTCTGTGCGGGCAGTCCGATCGGGGTGGGAGTGGTGCAACATACACAGCACGGAGAAAGTTTATTCTTGTTGGGGGAACCTAAGCCGCCTGGAGAAATAGACGGACAACGGACACAGAGAGAGACAGAGAGAGACGTGTGTCTATTGTTGCTCTGAAGAATCTCTCCGCTAGAGGGGAGCTAGAGCGAGATGCCAAGATGGGTTGGCCGTTGGTGGTTTGGGTTGTGTTTGCAGTGTCAGTGCCAGACGAGGGGGGGTTGTCTAAAGCAGCCACCACCATCCATCTCTTCTGTCGGTCAGTCAGCCAGCGTGAGGTTCTACCGTCGGTGTGCTTCTAGTCGTCTTGTTGTATCTCCGGTAATAACCCTTATTGTTTTCCCTCCATTGCAACGCAAAAACAGCATGGACTTCGTACGCTTTGACTATGCCACGATTGATATAGCGCCGGCTTCGGAGGCTGGCAAGGCTGGCATGGAGGATGATAGGCTCCTTGATTGTTTTGTTCGCCTTCCCTCATACCACGGGCTACTATCCCGCTGGGAGCTTCTATGGCACGCCTGGCAGATGGCGCCCGCGACGGTGCGTTGGACAGCTCTGCTAGGGCGGCGGTGGGCGCTGTCGCTGGCTGGTTTCGTCCACTTTTGAGGCTTTTCTTCACCTTGGCTCTTTTGGCGGAGCTCTCTAGCGCCCTCGACTGGCTGGCATGGTTGGCAAAGGGGCTGGACGGGCTGGTTTCTGGCTGGCAAGGCCGGGTAAGCCAGAAATACAATTGTACAGAAATAGGGATAGAGGCGTTCGTCTAGAAGGTGACGAACTGACTGGGCGTGCGTGGAGGACGTGGTATAGAGGATCTTGCTACTTCAGGGAGTTACAAGAGTTCTTTTGTTTGACGCGGCGATGGTGCTAAGATCGTTATCTGGGCAAGCGACGAACGTGGCTAGCGGGGGATGTGGAGGTGACGAGACTTGAGGGATGGCAGATGGGAAATGGGGAATGGGATGTCGTCGTCGCGGTGGAGAGCCTCATGATGTGACGAGCATGGCAAGGGGTTTGGCTGAGCCGTTTCTTGCGCCTTGCATTTTGGCTCATGCCCGGTCCATTTCACGATGTTTGGTTTGTTGTTGTTGCAGGGCCAAGGGGTGTCGCCAAAGATCTAGCCATTGCACTGGCCCATGAGTTGGAACGACGAGGGGTGTGCTGTCCACGATGTGTGGGTTCCGATGGGGACGACCAGTTCGCATGTCCTTGGAGCATGAATTGACGCGTGAAATCCTCCGAAGCACATCACGAAGACCGGGGTTCGCGGAGATCCAGGCCACTTGCGGATGTCAAACATGTACAAACGGATGAGGGATCCCCAACAATAAATCATATCGCGATGCCGACGACAACGGTGATAAGAGTCGGGACTCGGAACGAAGCCCGCCAGCGGCAACGGGAACGAGTGTGAGATGAGTTGAGTGGCTCATCGACCAATCCATGGCATGCAAGACCACCCCTTCGAGGCTCGAAAGCCGATGGTCGGGATTATTCAGATCCAGGGTTCACAAGATGTAAGAGAGAGCATTTCAGCGAGGCACATATAGTGAGACAGTATCGGACAGTTAGGACTGCGGGTTGATGTCGACCCCTGCCAGTTACTTGCAGAGATTTTTTCGCCTCTACTAAGGGGGGTCAGGCGCGTGAATGACGAATGAGCCACTGCACGATTCTAGGGATACGCAAACATGAGAATTACTTGAATATTCCTCAAGAGCGCTGTGTTGAGATAGTGGCAGCTACATTTGCAGTTGCATGTGTAAACAAGGCAACAGAAGAGGCGTTCAAGTTTTACGGAGGGGGTTTGAGTTGTCTTGAGCAGAGATCGAATTTGATAGGCGTTGAATCTTACTGTTTCTGTGTTTCTGTGTTTTGGTGTGGTGAAAATTCAAAGGCGATGGCGACGGGAATTGTACTTGCCGGCAGCGGAGTCCTCCGCCCCCGGACTATACCGGCGAGACCTACCTCAAGCAAAGAACTCAACCTTGTCAAACAAACGTTGGCTGAAAGCCTGAAGCTCGCCTCGTTCGTAAGCTTTGCAGCACCTGGAGCTGTCCGTTAGATGAGCCAAATCTGACAACTAAAGCCGACACTGTCGATCACTGAGCGGGTGGTGCGCTCGAGTTGCCCGTGGATCAGACGGAGAGGCCCCTGGCCAAGAGCTACACGGGCCGGTGAGCGTTGGTCGTACTACTATGAGAGGAGGTGAGTGAGGTGAAGGAGGGGGTGAAGGATTCGATGGACCACGCTCTAGACCATCGGTCTGTGACTGTCAAGATGCGAGGAGGCTCTTCTCTTTCCCCTTCGAGGTCCACTTGCAGATGTCGAATTCACGGTTAACGAGACCCAGCGGATGGGTCGGTCCCAGTGCCTGCTTGCCTGAGTACGTGGTAATGAGGACGACCGGGGGTGGATGCGCGGCGCAGGTAATATTGACGCTTTCTGCCCAGGTCTTTCGATGTTTCTGATACGCTCAACACGATGGACGTACGAATTCAAAATAGACAGTATATGCAATGCGGATTTAATATGGATTGCATGGTTCGTTGGAGGTCTGGGAAGAATGACGAACGGACTTATTGACGTCTTCCTCCCATGTTTCTCCACCCCCTCCCCCGGCGTCCGCCGCATCGCTGAGAACAGCGGACGAGCCGCTGCTGCTTTTGCCTGCCTTTGATGAACGGGAATCGGGATCTACTGCCTAGATTTCGAGGGTGAGACGCCAGACGAAAAGAGCCATTCTGCTTATCTGTGGAGATTCATGTCTCTGATGAATCCAGCCCCAGCCGCCGTTTTGCGTTTGTTCCCCAGAGAGATTTAGACTCACGCTGATCGATGGACAATCTTTCCCCTCAAGTCCCCTTCCCGTCTCCGCAAAGCAGCGGCCGTCGTGCAGCTCAGCTCAGCTCAGTTCTGGAGAAGGTCCAGGCGGTCGAGGGTGTTCGCGCAAGGGAGGACCACCAGCCCACAAGCCCACGAACACCGAACCCAACCCCCGCAAGACCCAATTCTTTTGTCATTGCTTTTGGTTTCCACTTCGCTGCTGCTTTGCTCACATCGTGTTGAGGCTAAACGATGGGAAGACGGACGGGCCATCATCACATAATCATTCCTCATCCATCATATCAGACCGATGTGGAGCATAACAGAGCCGCCGGCGTTCAAACATCACTCCAACGAAGCACCATGGCGCCGCACGTCTCCCACACTAGTTTGCCTTTGCCTTGGAACAAGACATGTCAAACTCGCCTCTGTGGATTCTATGCATACGTGTACGTGTGCTGCGTTATTGTTGGGAGACTTGAAAGGGACTTGCCCTGGAGAGGCGTCCGCTGCCAACGCTGGTGGGGATGAGGAGCGGCACAGACTTAGACTGCTAAAGCAGAAGAAGCTTCAGTGAGCTTCAGTGCGTTTGCTTGGAGCTGACATGGCGAAAACGAGGTCGGTAACTGTGATAATCTGCGGCGTTGGCAGGGTCCCTAGATGCTGTAGGGGCTGGGTCTGCCTGGCTGGCTGGTCTGTAAAATCCCCGACCACCTTGTTCTTCACCCCCTTCTCCTATGAGTGCGTGTGTTTCTTCTCTCTCTGTGTTTGTGCGAGTGGCTCGCTCGGCCGGGTGGCGGCAAGGTTCACGCGAGGCTGTGCGCGTCTTCTTCTGCCCTCACCGTCCTTGCGTTATCGGAGAGAACAATGCTTTGTCGACTTCGCTCCGGACTTTTCGCCGTTACCTTAGCCTTTTGCTAATTATGTTGTCAAATATCACGCTGAGATTAGACGCCCACCACCATCGACAGTCATACTATTTTCCGTGCCACTACAACACGCGATGGATCCACGGTTCTGCATAGAATCCGTAACACCTCACCCCGTACCGCGATGATGACGGCCCCAACAATATTCTGTCCATCTCGGACGATATTCAGGACCTTTGAGATGGAGGGTCGGGAAATATCATCCTATCTGAGGGTGCTCCCCATCCAGCCTCGCTCAATCGCTGTTTTAAGTGGCATAATTCCCCATCTAGGCCCGAAGCTGTCTGCTGCAGACGGACCGGTGTCGGTGTACTGCGACCTCGCCCATTGCCAGTGGGTGTGAGATTGATACCCAAGCAATTGACCTCTCATATGCTGCACAAGACAGACAGCTGCGCCAGCCCTGCAAGAAGACGTTTCAGGGTTCAATGAGCGCTTCTGCGTTGCTTATCAACTGCAGCCATAACGTACAGATGGGTTGCGCGAGAGGGTGTGAAGCGGTGCTGATCCCTCTTGTATCCAAACACACCCTCTCAGTTTGCTGCCCGCTTTGAAAAAGACCCTGAACTTGGATGATGTGGAGGGCTTGAATGACGCCAGTAATCGTCCCGTTGTCTAGACCTTTTACGCCCTTTGCTTCATCCACTTCTGAGTCCAGCGTTCCTTCGTAGTCCGGGCTGCTGCCATGACATTGGCCTGTGAAGAGAGGGGAAGAATCAGGGATCGTCTCTCGATGATGCGAGTTTTGTGGAACAATGGCTCGGCCGACGGTTGATGGGTGAGGTGAGGTGCTGGTATTGCGGGTTAGCTGGGGAACATACGCTTGGCTTTCGTGAGCTGGTGCATGATGTGACATTAAGACTGGAGGAGGCATGATTGTGAGGCGCCCAGATTCACGTGTCATTTACTATCTTTCAATGTGGGCGCGAAGATATTGCAGCAGTCTGGTGCGTTGATGTCGATCGGAGATGATGGAATTGTGTCTGGGTTCCTCCGGGTCTGATGAGATGAGCTCATCATTATCACGGGTATCAGAAAGATGCTGCCCGAACCTTTCACTCCTATGCCTGATCTAAATGGGGGCATCATCAGAGTCCGGGATTTTTTTCTACGACAGCTGTTCACAACCAAGGCAGAAGATATCTGCTCTGGTTCATGTGATTAGGTTTGAGCTCGAGGTCGAGATAAATTCTGAAGGCGCATATGATTCAACCTCCATTAAAAACGTCCCTGTGTAGCAAACTTCTGTTAGGCTCATCTGGAGTCATTTGAACTCATGAACGAGTTCTTGGACTTTAAGTCCACTTTGTTTGTCTCGATCACAGTTTTGAAGCCCACACGCTGCCTTGAGACACAAAACCCGTGTCGTGTTATTTCGTGAGAAGGACAGTTGAGATATTAACATTGTGTAAAGAGAGACGATTTCTCCGCATCTGTGCTAAGTCATAACGATCCTGACTAGACAATACTTGCATGTACACTCCAAAAGCAGAACAGCCTGAGTTATCAAACGCGTTCGCGTCTTGTAACACAACAAATATTAAATGCATAGCCCTAAACTTCTCAGTTTCCACAGTCTGGGACCATCAATAAGTAACTACATGGCAACCACCTGCATCCAAAACTCCTTGTCAATCGACCCAATAGGCTTTTCTCAACGTGCTTGGGGCTACTGGTCCAAGGCAGCTGTGTCCATATTCACTAGTAGGTTGTGTGAACGCAGTGACTTCACTGATGTGAGCAACTTCCGCAGTGATCATCGCAACCGCCGCCGTCTTCTTATTCTTGTTCTTATTTTTCTTCTTCTTGCACCTGGGCAGATCATAGCTTGCGAAGTCTATTCCAGATCTGGTGGTTGTTGGCGCTGCAAAGTTGCTCGAAGAGCCGAAGGTATCAACAAGAGCTGCCTGGGGTTCGTCCACGGTTGTGTCTTCCTGGAACAATTTCCCCACAAGCATGTAAGGTTCTGGTGACACTCGAGCTTCTCCCAAAGCCTGTTTTCTCAGAGCTTGTTTAACAGTTTTCTTGGCAGTTTTAGAATCCATTGGTGTTGCTTGAGAAACCGAGTTGTCGTCAAGAGAGGCACATGTTGTCATGGTTACCTTCGTATTAGCTCCGTTCCATGGAACAGACACTAAATGTACAACAGTGCCTACCAAAATGAGCAGAAATGATGAAGTGACCTCTATGATGGCCAAATGCAGACACATAAGGAAAGACGATGGGGTTTCCGTGACGGAAGAAGAATATGTCTCAAGTCCTCTGGGGCTATCGACTTGAATCGCCCCTTTCTTTGCCCGACTTTGAGGAAATCCCGGATGGCTCTGCAGAGTATGAGCTGTACTCAGAGGAGCCATCGAATCGTGCGAAGTCTGGCTGGTAATGGGTACAGTTCGACTCGTTTCAGACTTTGCTGCAGTTTGGCAAATGCTCTGTTGACGTTGAGGCGAGTATCCCGGAGCCGTAGGTAAGACCTCATCGCTTGCAACCTTGTCAGTTTGGGTTCCAGTGGATGAAGTATGAATTGTCTGAGTGGTTGCATCTACTTGAGCTCGGAATGTGCTCTGATGGGTTTGTAGAGGTAATATTGGGCCCAGAGGAGACATCGTATGGCTCGAA